GACCCCAATGCCCCCATTGACACCATTGACCCCATTGACCCCATTGATCCCATTGACTCCATTGATCCCATTGACCCCATTGACCCCAATGCCCCCATTGACCCCAATGTCCTCATTGACTCCACTGACCCCAAAGTCCCTATTGACCCCATTGACCCCAATGCCGCCATTGCCCCAATTGACCGCAATGTCCCCCTTGACCTCAATGTCCCCATTGCCCCCATTCCCCTATTGACGCCATAAACCCCATTGCCTCTGCTGACCCCAATGTCCATCTTGAACCCCCTTGACCCCAATGCTCCCATTGACCCCATAGACCCAATACCCCCATTGACCCCGCTGCCCCCATTGACCCCAATCTCCTCATTGATCCCATTGACCCCAATGTCCCCATTGATCCCACTGACCCCATTACCCCTATTGACCCCAATGTCCCCATGACCCCTATTGACCCCAATGTCCCCATTGACCCCATTGCCCCCGTTGACCCCACAGACCCCGCTGCCCCCATTGACCCCAAATCCCACCTCTGCGTGATGCCGGAGTCCCGGATGTCCGTTATCTGCCCGCTGCGCAGCATCTCCCATCCGGCCTGAGCGATCATCGCCCCGTTGTCCACGCAGAACCTGCACCCATATTCACCCCATTGAGACCCCGTTGACCCCATTGAGACCCCACTGACCTCATTGAGACCCCACTGACCCCACTGAGATCCCATTGACCCCATATAGACCCCATTGACCCCATTGAGACCCCATTGACACACTGAGACCCCATTGACCCCATTGAGACCCCACTGACCCACTGAGACCCCATATAGACCCCATTGACCCCATTGAGACCCCACCGACCCCATTGACCCCACTGAAAACCCATTGACCCCATTGACCCCACTGAGACTGCATTGATCCCATGGAGACCCCACTGACCCCACTGAGATCCAACAGCCCCCACTGAGACCCCACCGACCCCATTTGTGACCCCACTGACCCTACTGTAACCCATCTGACCCCATTGAGACCCTACTGACCCCACTGAAACCCCACTGACCCCATTGACACGCCATAGACCCCATTGACCCCATTGAACCCATGGAAACCCCATTGACCCCACTGAGACCCCATTGACCCCATTAAGACCCCATTGACCCCATTGAGACCCCACTGACCCGATTGATACCCCATAGACCCCATTGACCCCATTGACCCCATTGAACCCATGGAAACCCCATTGACCCCACTGAGACCCCATTGACCCCATTAAGACCCCATTGATCCCATTGAGACCCCACTGACCCCATTGAAACCCCACTGACCCCATTGAAACCCCATTGACCCCACTAAAACCCCATTGATCCCATTGAAACCCCATTGACCCCATTGGGACTCCATTGATCCCATTGAAACCCTATTGACCCCACTGAGACCCCACTGCCCCCATTGAAACCCCACTGACACTACTGAGACCTCATTGACCCCATTGAGACCCCATTGACCCTATAGACCCCATTGAACCCCCGACCCCATAACCCCATTGACCCCATGCCCCATTGATCCCCCAACCCCCTGACCCCATAACCCCCCCC